AACAAAGAAGCTAACAGTAGGATCGTGCTTAAAATAAGGATTGCATATCGATTGTGCTGTATGAAGAACGCTAGAGCTGTAATAACGGCGTTTTTAATAAGAGATAAGGGAAGGGAAGCTAGGCTCCCAGTGGGATTCGATCTTACTAGCTAGTGAGCGTTACATTCGTGATATTGGGATTGGTCGTTCGGGCGTAAGTGGTGGTAATGATTAGGCGGAACCGGATTCATTTAATTATAACCTCACGTTTTTGGGCGATGTAGGAGATCTTTGGCAAAGTTATAGTGAAAAGCTAGCAATTATCTGGACACACTGCTGAGGGAATGGTGGATGGTGAAGAGAGTTCTTGGACAAGTTGGCTGGCATGTCGTTCCCAAATCAGATTCTGCTTTCCCATGTGAGATGTGACATGCGTAGTCTTTGAGATGAAGTGTTATATTTTGCTAGTGGTTTGTTTGAGATTCCTGATCAAGTTTCAATAGGGTCGGGCTGGGAACAATATTCGGCGAAGCTATTCCTCACCATTATTCATCCAATTAGCGGGGTACCTCAATTAAACAGCGGACTTCAAAAATCCCTTTTCCACCATCCCTGTTGAAGGCTTAATTAGAACTACAAAAAGGATAGAATTCAGACATCGATTGGGCTCAGCTAAATATATTGGAAAACTTTTTGTCCTTGCCATGCCTTTACGATCAACTCGGACATGAAGGATGTTCTTAGGATTTATATTTTTCAGAATCCTCGTCTGAGATCATGGCTTATACTTTCTCAGCCTGACTAAATTCTTTAAGAATTCAACGATATGATCTTCTTTTTTGAAATTTCTCAAAGCATTTTTTGGATATTTCTTTCAGAATATTTTTTGTAACTTTTCAGATTCTGTGACGATCGAGAAGAAAACGGTGTTCTGGACTCGGATAACCAGTCCTCGATGCGACACACAACTTATGCATTAGTGAAAACTCGACGAGATGTCGACGAAGACGATGAACTCGACGATGACGACGATGAACGCATGAGAAGTACAGGATCCGATGAAGAAAATCATCCCCATAACGGTCATCGAGCAATCGTCGAAAATGGAGGAATGGCGCCACGTGTACTGGAAACGCGACGAGGACTGAGTCCGGAACGGGATCCGCTCGATCGTGACAGAAAGGTCTCCTTCAGCACCGCACCGATACCTGTTAGTCCTCTAACTTCAGTACTCGTAAATCTATTTTCTTAACTAACTAATGTACGTGGTTGTGTCGAGTGAAGGGAAATTGGTGATTGGCTTTTGTATGTGTTTTTTTTTCCAAGAAAACCTCCCCATCTAGTTCCATGCGGATTTCAGGTGTACTGTACACATTCGGTGGAGGAATACGATCGCAAAAACGACGATATCGATCCGGTGGCCAGTTGCGCTGAGTATGAACTCGAGAGACGTCTCGAGCGTATGGAATTGTTTGATGTAATGCTTGAGAAGGGTCCTGAGGGACTCGGAGTCTCAATTATAGGTCTGTGAATCGAATATTCGATTTTTTCTAAAATTAACATCGTGACATTACCATCCGGAAGTGACCAGATGTGGCAAATAATGGCAAATAGCGGGGTGATGATAAGAAAGAACGGATATTTAAGTCTATCCCGTTTTTTTTTAAAATGGCACTGGGGGTCTCCGTGATCCTGGTCGAATGGTTTTGGTTTTTGAAATAAACTGACGTTCCATGATAGCCATGAGCATACCAAAAACTCACTTATTTCATCTCCGATCACATCACTCGCTGTCTTCGATTTTTGCGCGATGAAATGAAAAAGTTCTTCCCTCAATCTAGGCTTTGGCTACATTAGGCCATAAGGCTGTAGTTGTTCCTTGGTAGGAAAGCTGCGAAGGGGAAATTTCCTTTGCAAGCTGCATATTCCTCTTTGGAGTAGCCTGAGACTGGTTCCAGGAGACTAATTGGCCCGAATGACCACTGAAATAGATTTTTTTCAGGCAATAGTTGGCTGAAGTGGCCCAGTTATGTCATCCTAGCATGACTTTTATATCGATCCAATTTATCAATTAGTTCAGAAATATTTAAACGATTTTTTGAAACAAATGAAGCTTGAGTCCTCGTAGAAAAGTTAAAATAGCTAAAACTTGTTTAGGAATGGGCGTAGGAGCTGATTCAGGCTTGGAAAAATTGGGCATATTCGTGAAAAACATCACACCCGGCGGAGCTGTACACAGGTAATCTTGATGAAAAGATTTTTATGTTATTTTGGTTTTGATGTTTATTTTTCATTCATGGGTAGTGATGTCATTCCAATTTTTCTTTTCTGAAGCACTCTGTACTCCTACAGCAAATTATTGTTTCCAGGGATGGTCGTGTACGAGTATGTGATCAGATCGTGTCAGTCGATGGTAAAAGTCTTGTCGGGGTTAGTCAGCTTTATGCAGCTGAAACTTTACGGGCTACTTCAAATCGAGTGCTATTCACGATTGGTTAGTTTAATTGGTTTTTGTACAGTTTGATTACTACGTTTTACTTCCACCCAGTCGATGGTATTTGCACGAAACTGGTATTGGTGGAAATTGTGGTCTTTATTCGATAAGTGGCGGAATCCTTTGCTTTAATTTGAAAAATATGGGAGTTAGTAATATTATGGCTAATAAAAATTAATAGTGAATATGTCATTTGTGGAACCAGCAGTTGTTTATTTTGGTTTCTTGATATGCCTCATGCAATTCGTTACAGCAAGAGAGCAATCAAATGGTTAGGGAATAAAAAAAATGATTTGGAATTATATGGAGAGGGAGGAGGGGTTAGAGAAGTTGGATGAGTATTGAAAGAAATAATTGTATTGTCAGATGTTGGCTGACGGAGCCTGATGGGAGGCGGGGCTTTCCGGTGGAAGGCACCACATTCAGGATTGACAGAACCAAATAGGGTGTTAGTACTGCATGTCTGTTTTCCAGACGCTATGTTCCCAAATAAGATGAAATTACTTGCCACACGCAGTTCCATTTCATTTTTTGGCCCTTGAATTGACAGACTATCTACTTGTTCACCTGCAATAAAATTGTCCGCAACATTTTTTCCTGGCGCCGCGACAGGTCGTTAACAGTGTGACCGCTCAGGTTCCTGAAAACGGTGTGTCGATGAAAGTATAGGTTTGTGGTAGTGACCTTCAACAGGCTGTAATATGATCCTATTCTGAAAAAGGGCTGCAGTGTTTGACATTAGCAGTACTGCTGAGATTAAGGAATAGATCACGAATTTTCCGAAGGTGGCTGGTTTTTTCAGAGTAGCGCTGTTGGGCTGTCTCGCTATGTGAGCTCCTTTTATCGACTTCTAGTGAGATTTGACGAAAGGGATGTATGACCAGCTTCTACATTCTTTGCGAAGAGTTCGCAGCCGATTCTAAACTCCTTAACGAGTCTGTCAGATGTCTGTCTCACCCATTATCGGGTCGTGATGAGCCCTTGATGCTTGCCCTTTATGTTGTCTGGATGACTTTCAAGAACTATTCCGGAGAAGATGGATTTCAGGGCCGTAATGATGGAGTGATAATGATCTTGAAGCCTTCCATCATGGTTTGTTTCCTTGTTGACCGCCGGGTCTATTTAGGACGCGAACCGAATTTGGACGAGTCTGAAGTCGCTCAACTTATTCGTCAATCACTGGAAGCTGACCAGTCACGTTTCGTCGGTGGTGGTCCTAGCGAAGGCGACGAAAGTCAACCCGAGGAGAGCGAATCTGTGTCGGCCAGAAGTATGGACGAGGCGGAGATTCGCGTGAGTGCCTCTGACACTGATTGTTTACTCTGTTTACTTGTTCACGTAAATTGTTTGCGTTATGAAAATAATCCTTGGAATTTTCATAAATATCCAACTCCCTGGGTAGTTTTACTGATTTCTAATCTGTAGCAAAGCTTTCGCTGTCATTAGTTCTTCCCTGGTTTGGATTAGGAATATTCCCTGATGAATTTCTTACCAAAACGGTCAGTGGGAGAACAGTTTTTCGGATAGTTTTTGTCGGTTCCTGTGTTGCGAATAGGGAGTATCTCTGTATTTTTCTCTCTAATGCTCTTCAAAAAAGTTTTTCATTTCATTGAATCATGACTTCTTGCTTCTCCAGCGGCTGTGCTTTCCCTGACTATTCTTTCTTCCTTGGGAAACCATTCTTATTTCATTAATCGATGCTGTTTTTGGAATTAAACTCGACACGGCTTCATAACGGACCAGCCATCACAATTGAGTTCTAGTGGAATATCATCGTTTCATTTTCGGAGAACTCCAGATGTTGTGGTGTTTCTCGGTTTCTTTTCTTTTTCCTTCACTTTTATTCCTTTCACCTCTTTTCTCTTCTTCTTTTCTATTGTTTCTGGAGCTCCTGCACCTTTTCAGGGTTTTATTTTTAACAGGGTTTCATTTGGATAGAGAGGGAATTTCTAAGCTACATTTCGTTTTTTTGCTGTAGTAAAGTTTATTATGAATTTTCGAATGTTCATATGTAATCGGGAATGATTCCAGTCAAGAATAGCAGCATTGGAGTTGGAATTGGAAATGTCCCAGAAGAAAGCCGATCAAATGCATGATGTTTTGGACAGCACAAAATCTCATTATGATCAATTGGAGAAGAAATACGATCAAGCTAATCAGTTGCTACGGAATTATCAGGAGAGGTAATCCATTCATTCACTTAGCGATCGGATCTGTTTGTTTTCAGTTTTTTGGTGTTCACAAAAGCCGTGGCCATAAGAAAGTCACAAGTTCCTTGTTCCTCAATTTTGAAAATTGAAAACCACTAATAGAGAATAAAAAGATGAAGATTTTATGGAAATTGTTTTGAAATGTTTGATTTTCAGAGAGAAAGAGTTGCTTTCACGTGAGGAGAACCATGTAGAGCAGTTAAGAGACAAGGACGCTCACTACACACACTTGGTTACTCAACTTAAGGTGAGCAAAAGTCAGGAACATATCTAAGTTTATATCGCTTTCATATTAGTACCTTATTTTGAAGTTTTCAACAAATTTATAAACCTATATTTCCTTGCGTTTATTTATTTAGGCCTGTGGCTAAAATTCTTGGGCTTGATTTCGGTCTCGAAAATTATCGATTGCTCAACAAACTTTTTGGAATTCTGAAAACTTTTTTCCAGGAGCGTATTGATGAACTCGAAGCAAAACTGGAGGAGATGGATCAGCGAAGGCAATCCATCACCAATAATGAGCTGTCAGAACTGAAGGAAAAGCTAAAGGTCAGATGGCAGTCAAACCAAGCCTGGATCGTATTCGGATCACTTCCGCAGGGTTTCACACCATCAAAAACCGAAAATTGATTTTTCAGGACAAACTGGAGAAACGCGATGAAGGGTTGGCCTATAAACCTGGCGGCGAACTGCCTCACGAAGATAAAGCGGTGATGGCTAATCTGGACGACGTCAAGGAAACTATTAAGCCTACCACGATAAACAACAATAGCATACCAGTAGGTTTAAAAGCCTCTTTGAGTGGGGACCGGTTCTTGGCGTGTAGATCCTATGTAAAAAAGCACCCTGTGTAATTGCAGTGCCGTAAAGATGCTGAAGTGTCAACATGGGATGACGACAAGTATTCGTCGTCATGTGGAAGTCCTATCCCACGAATATCCGAACCGGCCAGTCCTGCTCTCCCACATCGATTCGTTCATCGACGACTCCTGTTCCCTCTCAAAAAGAAATACATAACGAGTATGTTTCATTTGTTATTTTTCAATTGATCTAAATCATTTTTTATTGAGTACTATGATCTGTCTGGCATTCCCGTGATCCTTACGGTGTACGGTATGGGCCTACATGCTACGGCTCTTTCAAAAAATTAACTGATGCAGCTTATAAGCCGCACATTGATAGCGAGTTTTTTTTCTTGAAAAAAAAAGAAATTTAGCAGGAATTATATATAATATTATAATATAATTATATATAATAATTAGGAATCTCTGACAAGGTATCTGCTGCAATACAACGATGTATTGTTCGAGCACAATTGAGCGATGATGTTATTCTAGTTAACATTCCACCTAATAACATCAAACGCCAACTTGTGAGGAACAGACTCTACGATAGGCAGTGCTTGACAGAGGGTTGCGTTACATGTCCAAACGGGAAGAGTGGAGATTGCGCTTCTGCAGGCGTAATTTATCAGATTCAATGTGAGGCATGTAATTCAAGCTACATAGGGGAAACTGGAAGAGTTTTATCAGTACGGATCAAAGAGCATCTTGCTGGTAAACGGCGCAGTAATGTGTCAACTCCGTTAGGAAAGCACAGAGTGGAACAGCATGGTGGCAATGATTTCAATATCAGGTGTACAATATTGGCTCACGAGGCGGAAATATCGTCGAGGAAAGTGTTGGAAGCGTTTTGGATTTCAGCTAGAAATCCAGATATGAACAGCCGAAATGAGTGTGTCACAATCACAAATGATCTCTTGCCATTTATGCAACACTGCGAGTTAACTCCATAATCAGCGAACGTGCTGATCCGCAATAATAATATTATTGCATGAGGACAGCGAAGTAGATCATTCGCTACTGATGTACTAACCGTGTAGCGTAGTGCTACACTTCGCGGTGTGGAAGTGAGGTGAGCTTATCTTTTTATTTTTTGGGCATTTTTCGTGCGTTCCTGATAGAAGGTCAGAAATGCTAGAGCGGAGGAGGCGCTTGGTGAGGTAGTGTGCAATCAAAAGCTTTGAGCCATTTTCAGGCCTTTGAAAACGACGAGTCCGTCGAAACGTCGGCCAGAATAAAGATTCCCACCTAACAACCTCGTGGCAGAAGCAAAATTATCAGTTTCAAGTACAACAGACATGCCGAGGTTTCAAGATGAGAGAACATGGAATTTATATATACACTAATTTTATCCTGATGTTAAATATTTTATTTTGAAAGATTGTTACAGATTCTGAATTCGTATCGTTCACTTATTGATTTGTTCAACTTTTACTTTGTTTATATACATTTTCCAGATGAGAATGAGTTCTGGCGTGCTTCCTGTGAACAAATCCAAGGATTGCAAGTACTTCATTGGACTGTTGACGATGTCTGCCAGTTGTTGGTCTCTATGGGCTTGGATAAATACGTCCCCGAATTCACTATCAATAAGGTCACTGGAGCGAAGTTTTTGGAATTGGATGGAACCAAACTGAAGGTAAGGTCATAATCTGAGAGGAAAACTTTGGCAGAGAGTCATAAAAAATGTCGCTTTTTGCCACCAACTCCTTTCTTCCTGTAGTTCTCATAGAATTAGAACTTTCGTTTAGTTTTTGTGCTTATTCGAATATTTTCACGCACTGCTGCTTTAAATTAAAAACTAAGAATAGTTTTTAGTTTTTTGATTGAATTTTCACTTCGTTCCAGACTATGGGAATCCAAAATCACTCGGATCGCTCGCTAATCAAGAAGAAAGTGAAGATGATCAAGAATCGGATAGAACGTGAACGAAAGTTGTTAGAAAAAGAAAGTCGAACACGAGTGATCGCTCAAGGAATGCATATTCAAATGTAGCTCTCGACCAAATGGATTTTTAGCTCCGCCCGCCCTGTCACTCTGGTTCATTCCAATTTTGTGTATAATTATATGATTATTCGTTATTGTGCTAATTAACAATAGCTCATATTTACACATACACACATACATCATTATGCCGTTTTACATGCGTTGAAACTCGTACCGCCACCCGTCTGTGAGTCGTAGTGCAAAACGTGCATATTGATTGGCGCCTAGAGGTGTCGCATGCGAGTATGTACGCGCGTATGTACGTGCATGCACATGCTACTGTGTCCGATGGATCCAATAGACGACCGGGTACATCACTGAAGTTGTTGCCCAACCGAGGAGACTACTAAGCAGTTTTCTACTATTAGAGTAATTATTATAGGTGATTTATATAATATTAGTGAGTTTGGCTAATTGATTCAAAAGTATTGTCTGTAGATCATATGCTATTTCACTTACTTTTCATGTCGCTATTTTCCATATTTTTGCATGAATTTTTACCTGTATACGAGAGAAAAAAGTAACGAATAACAAATTCTAATCCCATACAGTGGTTCACGACTATCATCATCATCATCACATTCGATTTCTTTCCTTTCTTTCATATCATCATCATTATCATCATTCTGTGCGACCAATATTATAATTATCACTATAAATGTTATATGTTTGTAGCTGTTTGTTTTTTTTCTTTTGCTTTGTGTTGAGAAGCATGTAAACGCGGTGTTCAGAATCTTATATTGATTGATTGAATAAAACTTAATGCCATATGGAATTGTAAAGGGTATCAGCCATGTGTGTTTTTTCAAAAGGGAAATACTGGCTATTCGGATTGGGGAAAGTTTTTTTTTCCGAATTTTCATATCCAGTTTTTATTTATTTTTTGTTATGTACTGGTGCTATACAGTTTGTAATATTATTTCAAATATCAATTATTTTAATAATATCAACTGATTTTATTCGTCCCTTCACGTTGGATTTTTTTTCGAGTTTAGAAATTATTAGTAATCAAGGTTAATTTCGATTTAATACTCGGTTTTTCTTTCAACTTAACTATACTTCATCGTTTCCAATTGTGTCGATGCATACAGTCGATAAGAAATATGAAAGGCTGGATTTGGTGGCTGAGTGAATCCTGTTCAGAATGCGCCCCGTATTCGACTTTCATTCAGAGTCGTAGTGGCGCTTGAATGGTATACGGTCTATACCTGTGGAGGGCAACCAATGTACAAGTCAGTGTTCTCGCTCTCCCAGACGAGTCTTCTTCTATTTAAACCACCCCGGTTGGTAGGAGAGCTTCTTTGAACGGTGTGTGTGTGTGTGTGAATCCGGGTTTCAATTCGCTGACTATGCTTGTATGCTTTATGTATGTGGCTTGCGGATTTTCTTTTGCAGTATCCGGCTTCTCGATGGGTTCGTAATATTACAAGGCTAAAATCTGCGTCATTTTGAGGTTCCCACCATGAAGAATCGTTCAGACTTGAAGGCATGAGTCATGTTCNGGGCTGTTCAGAATGCGGATGAGACTGGAACATGTCGATGCTGGTTTTCGCTGTCTAAAGGTGCTGCGGGTATAAGTGCTGAGTGATTGATCAAAAAGATCGAAGCCATAAGGACCACATAGCCGTCCATCCTCACCTCAGTCAGCAGATTAGGCTCAGCTTCTCTTGCTTATCCATGGAATTCCACAGCGGAATGGGTTACTGTGAAGAAGTAGTCCAGCTACAGCTCTTTTTTTAGTTTCGACTCTGAATATTATCTAGATTACTTCCCGTTGATCTTCCAAGTCAATGGGGCTAGAGTGTGAAATCAGTGTCGTGGGAGTGTCTTCTCCGTGTCTCTACGTTATTTCACCAAAATCTTTCCTTTTCGTTAATGAGTTTTCATTTGATGAAATTCCTCCTTTCTGAGTTGTACAACAGCTATTTAATATTCATGTAGATGGTGTATTTTCACCCCTTTCTGGTTCTAAACTCGAGTTGCGACATTGCTTGAACAGGTGGTTAATGATTTAATGGATTCACGAAGAATTTCTTGAACGAGAGTTTCCTAAGTCGTAAGGCCCGTATAGCAAATACACTGATCGCGCCATGCCTTCTTCGTCGTTCCCGGAGAAACTTGACTTTCACGTCTGGGTAAAAGGGTGCAGTTGAGTAGGGGTAACAGTAACAAGGGAGTAATACACTGTTTGTACGCACTTCAGGTACCCGGGTATATAAAGAAGTAAGAATACGGCGAATTGCAGAGGCTTTATGATTTTATATTCAGTTTTAAATATTTAGTACAATCTCGCCAAGGCATAGCTCTGTTACTCTGACTAGTCGATGCTACTACTTATTTCTGGTAAATCCGATTATTCATACAACGATAATATTAAGGAATTGAGATCAGTACAGTAGAATAGGTGCTACTCGTTCACCGTAGTGACTTGTACCCGACTGCTTCACTCTTTCTGCTGTTCCTCGCTCTGTTGACCTTCTTCGGTTTTCTGCTTGTTCAGTTCGGCTTGCTCAGCAGCTAGTTCTTCCCATTTCTTAGCGTTATATCTGAATGTTGACATTTGTCAAGTCTATGTTTCTTGGGAAAGACGATTGCATTATTCTGTGTATCTTCAAATGTGGCAGAGGTGAGGAGATACATTCTTTTTATGCTCTCAGGAATTCCGACACTGGTTCCAAAAAAAATTGGTAAACCTAAAGGGGCAGAACTTCCCCGATTCAAATATGATTCCGAAATCGTTAGCTCAATCGAAAAACATTTCCTCACATAATTGACATCGCTAACCTCGTAGACACTTCTTCAAACGCTTTCCTTTCTAACGCTCTCCTAATCACTTGTCTGCATTGGCTTACCCAGAACAAATAGGAATCAGGAACAGTTAGTGAGCCTTAATCCCACAATCGCAGTTTAACCTACAACTTTTAACCTTGCTATTTTGTTCATTTTTTAACTAGAATTTCAGAAATAGTAGGACATCTTCATTTCGGAGCGAGCAGTGTCAGCCAACACACTTATCCACTAATCATTTCTACTTACAGCTCTATCTCCCGCGTATATGCGATCAGTGGAAGCTCAAAAAGCAAAAGGGAAACTCACTCGCATTGGTCTCTGAGGAACGCTGCTTCAGGTATGACTTTAGCTATTAAATCATAACATGGAAGACATATTCCACGCATAAATCCCACCTAAAAATAAAAAATAAGTTCCTATTGAGAAAAAGAATCCAACTTTCTGGACCATACATACATTTACTAATTTTACTTTATAATTGTAATATTTTTTGAATGGGTTTTGATTCTGTAATGAAAGCTGTGTCCTGTCAACGTCGATCCTCTGTATTATTTTGAGCCGCTCCGCGACCGCAGTGCTTGATTGTCACGTACAGGTCACAGGTTCAAAACGTGAGTGAAGTTGGAAATCACATTATATAGATCGCCTACAGGCTTTTTTTTCTCAAATGGGAAGAATCAAACCTGCATTTGTGGAAGCTCATGGGCTTTATTACGGTCCATCATTGGTATAGGTTCTCGTCCGCTCATACGTTCTGCGTCACCCTTAATCAGGGAGCACCCTTTTACTCTACTGATCCTTGCGCAATTATTATTAAATTTGATAAACATTGCTGTACTCATAAACTAAGGTCCATCACCAACTTGCTCGTAGAATTCCTCGAAGATGACTTTGACTGTTTCCGTTTGGATATACCATGGTTTTGCTGAAGCGATCAGATCGCAGCCGGTCATCAGTATCGCTTGTGTGAGTCGCCTTAATTTTTTTTTCATTAGAGATAAATCGAATAAGCATAATTCTCGTCAATAAATCGATACGTCTTTAGCTTGGACACTCAATAAATCATACAGAAACGGTAGTTTTCTACAGATTCAACCACAGTAATGTATTCCCATTATTTTTTCATTGACTAAGTGTAAGATAATTTACAAATCTATTAGTACTAGTAGCCATGAAATCCCCCAAATCTATGCCCCTAGACTCAGCTAAAGAGATAAGAACAGAGTTCTGGTCAGTCACTCGAGTCTGAGAGTTGTGCCTCGCAATCGACATACTTTCGAAATCGTTGCGGCGTATTGATAGCGTATTTGGCTGAACAACGACACTCATTCGTCAGCCGATGTACAGATCCTACCAAATGAGTCTGGAACCAATCGACCGACCCGGAAGGATGGAAGGCTCGTTTGGCACAGATAGGTCTCGACCCAGGGTTCGATTCCTGACCATCGTGGACTGCAAGAACGCGCTTATGTGTTATCCCGGTGACGAGAACCAGAAGTCTTGGGATTCTGCATGTAATAGCGGTGCCGATAATCGCTGCTCGCCAAAATCAAAGCGATTTCAATAATGCAACTCACCGATGATGTTCATCCTTGATGTCGTACGTACCAGAGTCGACAATTTTATTCAATTCAGCTTTATTGGTGAAGAATAGAGCCAGATCTGTGGCTAGGATACAGTGTTTGATCAGCGACAAAGCTTGCTTGTACTCATTTGACGTCATTGATTTCAGGATATTATGACCTTCCTGAACAAATGGTGCTTTTGACTTTGAGCAGTAGATGGTAGGAGCGCAAATAAAAAAACCATTCTTGGTTATGTTGTGGATTCTGTCAAGTCTCACTCCACTCATACAAAACATTTTCCACAGTTGATGAAGGCTACGTGTACTCATAAAGACGGGGAGTACATTTGGCTCATTGCAAATACGAAGTAAAAGTGGGTACAAACCGACAAGCGAAGAAATCAGTTAGGGTAAAAGTAAGGAGGTCTAGCGGCAAACCAAAGGTAGAGTCTGGATCCTTCTGTGAATTGTCTAGTTACGCGTTATACGGTTGACAATCCACCAATAGGGAGAGATCAGGGTATGCACCACTCAGTAGAAAAACGAAATCCCAAAG